TACAGTGTTCTGCTGACCCTTGGACCTGCCACCCACCAACCTGGAATTTAAATAAGTTCTTCAAAACTGGGATTCACTAACTGCCGATGATGCATCTACCTAAAGAAGAAAGCCTCACATTTTCTGTATGTCGCATGAAGCACACACTGCACGAAACATTCTAACATCCCCTTGTCTTGGGGAGTACACAGGCAGAATCCAAAACAGGTAATTTGCTCACAAACTTGATGAAATGCACATAAAAACAAAAGTAAAAAAATGCTACCAATAGCTGTGCATTTCTAGTTTTTCGTGCAGCCTCTTTATTTTGTTTTTCCTTTTCATTTTTTAAAAGTTACAGCATGATGCTTACTCCATGACACAGAAAACATTACTATTCCAACCTCTTTTTTTTTTTTTTTTTTTTTTTTTTTTTTTTTTACAGTTATGGCCAGTGCAGAAATCCTAGCCTTCAAAGCCTTGGCGCACACTGAAGAATCTTAACTTTTTCCCTGTAATGCATGGTGCAATATTTCGTCACCAAGACATTCAGTACTGGGGATTAACTGTTTGAAAATAGGTATCACTGTAAGCCTACAGAAACCCCAGTTAAATACTTAGCTCTCCCAGATCGTAAGACCTCACCCTTCTTGCTCTCTCATTTACTGTATTCAGTCTGTCTTTGTAACATGGGCCACTTCTACTTCTACCGTTTCAATGGCCTGTGTCACTTCAGCCATTTTCTGTCCTTGCTGTTGCGCCAATACATAATTTACCACCTGCATGATGCTTTGGTCAGAAAGAGTGGAGACTGATGTACATTCCTCAGTAGCTGCGACTGCTTCGATAGCTTCAAGCGTCTCTCCTGTCACTACCACAGTCTCAATCTCACCACCACCAACGCTAATCTCAGTTTCTTGTTCCTGCATGTCTGCTGCTAAAATGCTGATGGCATGCTCCACCTGTGTCCCCTGGTTATGAAACTGAAGAGTATCTTTTTCCAGCATAATTTTGCAGGGTACGTAGTCCCTATGAAACTTGGTCATGTGCTTCCGTAGCGTCCGGGCATCTATGTAAGCTTCATTGCACACTGGACAGACGTACGGTCGTTCTCCAGTATGTGTCCTCACGTGACGCTTCAATGAACGTGCATCGGCCCAGGCTACTCCGCAAGTTAGACATTCAAATGGCTTCACACCTGTTCTCAAAGGGAAAGTAAGGAAAAGATGACTGTCAGTGTTCGTAAATATGCATGAGCGATGATGAGAAGTAACAGGGAGAACAGCACTATTAAAGAACAAAGGAAATACTATAACTTTTTCCATGTAAGAAAGAGATCTTGTTTACCATTTTTGTACAATATAATGCAAGCATCATACATTAAATGGTAAGATTTTCCACAAGTGCTCTGCCCAATCTAATATTTTACTTTTAAAAAATTTTTCTTTTCAAAATTCCTTTTAATGCAGTTTCTCCCCTATTAAGTACATACTACTTAATAAATTTCTGATTATTTTTTGCTGGTGATGCCTTTCTGCAACCATGTTTTACTTAACAGAATTTATCACCTACACTCCTAGTCACACTTTGTTTCTCTAAATCTTACTATACAGGTCTTGTCAAACCAGCACTTACTCTAGTTAGCTTATAACGCCATCTACAGCTTTTTCCCTCCTTCTCCACATGGCATACGTTCAAACACTGCACCTGATGTTTGTATAACCTTATTCTCCCTTACAAAGCCTGAGTTCTGTGATCTGTAGTATCTAATGGGGCGTGCGAGTGGTGACAAACACTATTTCAATACTGGGTTTTCCAGTTACTGTAGATTTAGGCTAGGTACCTGTTACAGGACACTTTGTCTGTTCAGAAACAAACACAAAGTCTCTATTTCAGCAGTTAGACAGCTCTTAGATTTATTCATAACAGCTCTTTAAAAGGAGACATGCTTCAAGAAAGTGGTTTTTGCCCCAAAATAGGAGTATATATAGACTTCTAACACAGCTGGAACAACCAAATACTCAAAAATCAATATACTTCACATCTAAAGTAAAAATGCACATACTTTTTTTTTTTATTATAAAATGTTTTCATATTTTCCCCAAAGATCTTATAGTTTACTGCTTGTTATAAATCAAGAAGCTGACCAACTTCCAACAGTGGTCCTTTTTTTAAATTCAGGCCAATCACTCTCCTGTTCGAAGAATATTTTGTTAACCGCATGCACCTTTCAAACTGGAGAATGTTTTCCTACATCCAATTCTTTGCCAGATATACATCTTTTAATCACTTCTAAAAAAGTTCCTCTTCCATTAAAGTTCTGAGAGGACAAATTGTCTCTGTCCCTGTGTGTGACTGCAGTTTTAGGAAGATCTTGACAGCCACTTCTGGGAATCACTGCAAGCAAGTTAACAAACCAGGACTAGCATAAAACTAACTGGAGAATCTGTAAAAACTTCTATGCACCTTGCAACATAGGACACACAACAGACTCAAAGAAACAATTACCCCTTTCTCCATAATGTGTTTAGGGGTGAAGGGATGTCATGACTACTTGTTTTCTACATACCTTCATGATTGTTCATGTGTCTCCTATATTCCCGGAGTTGTGTGAATTTTCTTCCGCAATGCTCACAAACTCGTTCCAGATTTTGTTTTGCTCTTCCTTTTTTACCATGTGTGGCTTTCTTTACATGTCTTCTGTACAAAGCTTTCTCATAAAATTCTTTACCACATATATTACACCTAAAATGTGTTAAGTGAGAAATCTATTGAAACCATTATTCTCTGTTTGTGTTATGCTTTTTAAACCAAAATGCACTTTAATTGTAGTAGGCAAAGTTTAATGGAATACTGTATCATATGACAAGTAGTTCCATAATTAGAAATAATATTCTTGGACTAAGCTACATTCTCTCTTATTCACAGCCACAAGGCTTCTACTTGCCATTCTAGAGAGATGAGATCACATACAAAGCATTTCTAACTTCATCAATTATATTTATCCTCTTACAACTTCGTATGTATTAGTTTCAGGATTGTGCCAGCAGGTTAACAGTTGGACCACACTATTTGAAGTCACCCATCTGCTCTCAAGTACTCAAGACCCCAGCCAACATCAGTCAATTGGTACTTTAACAATGGCAGCTCCTTGTTGACTGGCTGTGGATCTGTATAACCTCATGTTGATTAGTACATTTCAGTTGTTAAATTAATTTCCTCTTACCTATAAGGGTCTGTGACAGAATGAGACTTCACATGAGAATACCAGTCTTTCTTCCAACTATAACATTTTCCACAGAACTGACATTGAAATGGCTTCACACCTAAATGTTTATTCATATGCTGCCGAAGATCTCGAGCTTCATAGAAACTCTTTTCACACCTGTAACAGTAAAGGTTTTAGCATCCCATATAAGAAAGATCTTGGTGATCCTGATTTCAAAGGCACTGGAACCCCCTTCTTTAACAGCAACTGAGAAGACAACACCTATTGTGTCATCGATATCTATATAAAGCACAATCCCTTTCCCAACTAGGGAACATGAAAAGGAACAGCAGCTTATCTGAAAGTCTGGAATATAATTTGAGGACCTCTGAAACACTTTTGTCTGTTATGGGTAACTATATTCTTTCTGTTATTTTTACGGGGAATAACCAAAGGCAAACCGACTGGAAGACATAAAAAATTTCTATTATACCATATGAACTTATGAGGATAGTAACAGCTGTTTCTACCCTTAACCAAAGAGGATTAATTATTGATACAAAGATAACCGGGATTTGTTGTCTGTAATGCTCAAATGTATTTTTTTAGAAAGTGAAAACCAAATTCAGAATCCTACAAGAAAGCATCTGAAAGTAGTGATACTCATTCCTTGGCTTGCGGTTTGTATACATCTAAACCCAGGCAAATTCCTAGTTTTCCTCCATTTATACCTTGCCATAGTATGACTATATAAAATTACAAATCACTAGCTCCTCTTGGTATGAAAACTACAGAGGTCAGTCTAATCAAAGGCACGCTTTCTCTCTTTGAAAGAAATTCTGCTCTTCAGACGTCTTTGCCGGATCACCTGCATCTCTTCCTCATGTAACATCATATACCTGTATGACTCAAGAAAGGACAGAGGCAGAGAAATGCCAGCAAGCAAAGGTGGAGGATTCACCTTCTACAGCTGATCAACCTCTGGAATCAGGGAATCTCAGAATTCCCAATCTCCAGTGGAATCTGGAAAGAAAAAAGCTTCCATACAAGAATAAAATTTTTAATATTACATTGCCGGAAGAATGGGCATTCTGGAGAGGGAAAAAAGCCTTCTTTGCTTTTGAGGAAAAGA